CGAGGCAGGTGGATCACGAGGTCAAGAGATCGAGACCATCCTGGTCAACATGGTGAAACCCCGTCTCTACTAAAACTACAAAAAATTAGCTGGGCATGGTGGTGCGTGCCTGTAGTCCCAGGTACTCAGGAGGCTGAGGCAGGAGAATTGCCTGAACCCAGGAGGCGGAGGTTGCGGTGAGCCGAGATCGCGCCATTGCACTCCAGCCTGGGCAACAAGAGCGAAACTCCGTCTCAAAAACAAAACAAAAAAAAAAGAAACTCAAAAGAACGCAGTCATCTGTCTCTCACCTATCTGTGACCTGGAAGCCGTCTCCCTGCTTCAGGTCTTCCTGTCTTTGCTTCCAGTTGTCCCGCCTTTCCAGATAGAACCAATGTACTTCTTACGTGTATCGACTGATGTCTCACGTCTCCCTAAAATGTATAAAATTAAGCTGTGCCTGGACCAGCTTGGGCATGTGTCATCGGGACTTCCTGAGGCTGTGTCACAGGCGTGTTCTCGACCTTGGCAAAATAAACTTCCTAAATTAACTGAGATCTGTCTCAGATTTTCTGGATTCACAGGTATGTACACATTTTACAGCATCACCTCATTTAATACAACAACACTTATGGTATAACTATTTGAACCCTAATTTCTGGAAGAGAAAACAAAACAGAAGCACAAAGAAGTGAAGTAATTTGCACATCCTGCTGTTTAGAGTTGGAGCCAAATTCTCGGATCTCGTGCCTGGCTTCCCAGCCAACTCAGAGATCTGGCTGACCCTGTCCGCCAGCACGTGGCCCCAGCCTGTCTCCCGGCCCACCACACCCGCCAGAGCCTCTGATGTTTATAATTCTGCCATGACTGGCTTGAAACTCTCCCTGAACGCTGCTAGGGCTTGTTCCTGCCCAGCCTTTGTTTGCAGTGGCTTTAATTGACTTTCTGGAAGGCAAGCCTCTGCCGGGAATACAATCTTTGTAATGGAGTATTAACTGTAAATCGGGAGGGAAGGAAAAGAGAGCTTTTTCTGCTGCCCAGCTTCACAGGGGCTGAGCTTCCTGTCTTCTCTCTTTTTCCCCCCTAGTATGCTTTTTTCTCCCAGGGTGGGATGCTGCAATAACAGTCCTGGCCTAAAGCTGTGGACAGGTACAGTCCCTACTCCCGTCTTCTTGCTGACTCATGGCATGACTGTGAGTAAGTCCCACCCAGGCCTCAGCCTCATCACTGCAAGATGGGCCTAGCCACCTCTGCTACTCTGGGCTGGTCTGAGGATGATTTTGGAGAAGTCTAAGGATTTTAGCCCAGTCCTTGGTACCCAGTAGGTGTTCAGTAAATCATCACTTCTTTCTGGCCTCCTAATTCTTAGATAGCCTGGGTCTGAATCCTTAGTGGCCTTGAACAAGTTACTTCAATCTCTCTGTGCCTCGGTTTCCTCATCAGCAAAAGGAGAAGATAAACAGTACCCACCTCCTCTGGTTGTTGTGTTAGCTGAGATGTTACAGGCAACAGCACTTAGCAAGGTGCTGAACACGTAGTTCGCACTCAAAGTTACCGGTTAGTGTTATAATTACTGGTAAACCTCAGTTTCCTTGTCTGGAAAAAGGAGAGGTGTTTCACAGGAAGCCAGTTGTGGTTATTAACACTATCACTGTTCTGCCTTAATGTGTACTTCTAGGCCCTGTGTTGTGAGGCTGGAGTGCACCAAATCCCATTTCTTCTTTGTGTTTTAATTCTTCAACATCTGCTTATTCTATTCTTTCTATAAAATGCTCTCTGTCAAAATGTCCAACACGGTTTCATTTTCCTGCCTGTACCCTGATTGATCAGCACCCAAAGACCCTAATAGCTGAGTCAGGCAGGTTAAGTTCTCTCCAGGGAGCCAGGAGAGGAGATCTTTTCCATAAAGATAACTTTGCAGGCTGCATTTCTGAGCCCTGAGGTCACCTGGGTCACACTGTCACAGCATCTGCTCTCAGGAAACTTTCTCCTGGCTACTCCCAAGGCTGAGGCCTACACCCCCTCCCCGGTCGCCTCTCCCACTTGCCCCCGACTCACCAGACACCTCCACGTATCCATCTTTGGTCTTCACCATCAACTCCTCCGGCTTGAAGCTGTGCACATTCACACACACTTTCCAGGGCTCCCCAGGAAAGGGTGGGGGGGTCCTGCCCTCGGCAGGCACCCCAAATCTGGCGGTGGCAGTGGGGCCCCGGGGCACCATGCCTGACCTTAGGGTGCCTGGCCAGGCTGAGGAGAGACGAGGCAGAGCCCAGTCAGGCCAAGGGGCCGTCAAGTCGTCTGGGAAGGGGTCCATACCAAAGCCATCATCCAGCAGGCGAGAGGAGAGGGGAGAGTCCCGGAAGGGGTCTCGGCGCAGGCGGCTTGGGTAGTGGCAGGAGAAGGGCATCTGACCGTCAGCCATGGTGGCTGCTGAGCTCAGAGGGAAACAGAGGCTCAGAGAGACGGAACCACCTTCCCAAGGTCACACAACAAGATGGTGTGGCTGGGCTGGCTTATTTTTCAGCTTCCGAAAACGCTGCTCTTCTGCAGGGAGAAGCAGAACCAACCGCTGCCAGGGACGGTTGTGCCCCCTAGGCTGGGGTCCCAGCCCCCAAAGGTGACCCTCAGGCGGGTCCAGCAGAATCCCAGAGGGCCCCTCTCTGCACTGCCTCACGACAGACCAGCAAGCCACTGTCCTCCCAGACCGCCCAGGCTTGCAGCCAGAGCCGCTGAGGTCTAGAGTGGAGCCAGGAGCTTAATAAACCCAGGGCACGCGCGCCTAGAAACTTCTTCTGGCTCCTTCTGGGCTGCAAGCCTTCTATTTATTTGCTGCTGGAGGCTGGAGGCGGGTTTTGCAAGCGTCTCCTGTCACAGGAGTATTCGGAGGTGATGAACCAGCCCCGGAGAATCCACAGAGGGAACAGCTGGGCTGGCTGGGAGGGGCCGCGTCCAAGTTCAGCCAGCCTCTCCAGACACTCCTCCCCTGGCCACTCTGCTCAGCTCCGCCCTCTGCTCGCTTCGGGAGCTGCAGCCGCCCACCGCAAGCAAGGCACCAAGGCCTGGCTATTAATAACCCCGAGCCTGGCTGAGGGCTCAGGTCACCCTCTGGAAATACCTTCTCTAGAGCGTGTTGTATCCTGCCTTTCCCCTGGGGACCTGCAGAAGGGAAAGAGAGAGACAGGAGCTCAGTGGATTTGAAGGATGGCCCCGAGTTGGAAACCCCACTTATAAGGTGGCCAAACTCCTAGAGCCTCAATGCCCTCCGGGGAGAGTGGTGAAAAAAAAGTTTTTAAAAATGTATTTATACGTATACACACATATATATTCATGTGACACTTGTTAAAGTATGATAAGTAAGAATAAAATGTTTTTAAAAGATAAAAATGTTTTTAAAATGTGTATATGTATATATATTTGCATATGAACCTTGTTAAAGTATGATAAACAAGACTTTACTGGGCAGGGGAACTTTCTCCATAAATGCAGGGATCCCAGAAATGGGATTTTGCAGTGATGGAGAAAGATTAGACTCGACACCCAGTAGGTCATGGGTAAGTGGGAATTTGTATCCAAGAAGCAGGTGGGAGGGTCAGCAAATGGAAAATTACCAGGAGGAAGGTCCAGGAGTCAGGGTGATTCTGGCTCAACTAACCTAAGAGGATTCTTGCTGAAGACAGGCCAGGGTGCTCAGACATCACCTGGGGGATGGTGGAGGATGAGGAAACTAATCAGATATTGAGGGTGATCAGAAATCAAAGATGGGTGATTGCTGCTAACAGACTTAGCAGAGTTCGTGCCAAAACTGAATTTTTATAAACGGCTGCACAGATGGGCTTAGGAGAAGATTCAGGAATCTGATTAATGTTTGGTCAAGCAAAGCATCTTTATCGGCAGTAACATTATTCCTGGGCACCTCCAAGTTGTCAGTTTACCTCCTTATAAATGGACATCATAGTAGCCAACTCGCAGACCTGCCATGAGGAATACATGAGCTAATTCTCTTCCAGCACCCAGCAGTCTGATGAGCACCTTTGCATTTTCAATTTTGAGTTATCAATTACATAATGTTTGCTACAGGCCAGGCCCTGTTCAATGGACTTTATAAATATGAACTCATGTAATCCTCACCAACAATCCTGTGAGGTAAGAGTACCAGTATTATCCCATTTTACAGATGGAAAAACTACCATAGATGTGTTCATGAACAATGTCTTCTATTATTATGACTGTTAATACTGATAATTATCAAAAGGTGTTATACTCAGGCAGATGTCTGGTCTGAAACTCAAAGCCCCAAATCTAGACTTTCCTGCTCCTCCCGTGCAGCTGGAAAAATGAATTCACAAATCCTCCTTTGGCCTGGAGGCCTTTTGGGCTTGGGTTTTAATCTTTGCAATCTGTCCCCACCAGGTAGACAATTTGGGGCATGTCATTTTCCCTCTGTGGGCTTTGGGGTCTCAGCCCTGCTTTCTTCATGATATGAGGGTAAGTTGAGGATTTTAAGGAATTCAGTGAGTCATAGGTTGAGAAATTATTTTGCTATTAAACAGTGCCTGCATGAGGCAGTTTGCTAAAAATAATAATATGAAGAAAATCACTGTCGTCCATTGCTCTCTGTTCATCTGCTTCTGGGGTTAGTACATTTCAGACATTATTGAGTGAGAGTTAAACCCTCACTAGGTAGTTAAACGTCACTATTATCATCACCCCCATTTTGCAGGTGAAAAAATAGAGGTGCAGAGCCTTGGCCCTTGTACACAGATGGAGTGGCAGTGCCTGGTAGGGAACCTGAGTTGCTCTGAATCCCAGATCTGTGCTGAGCAGGCAGACAAAGACAACTGCCCTCCTCCCCAGCTGAGAAAGAATGATCAAGACCCCATGGTGGGACATGTCCTGAGTGACTGAGCCCCCACTGGATGTGGGGTGAGCTCATCAGGCTGGAAGCTGCAGGCTGACGTCATGGCTGGGCACAGAAGCCTCAGCTCTCTCTGTAATTACAGCTAGGCGGGGCCGGCTGAGTTGGAAGCCAGTTGTGGGGATCATTCGCATGATGCACCGGAGAAATCTGGTCCTGCCTGGGACCTGGGCAGGGGCTGGAGTGAGGTTTCTGAGTGGGTGGGACAGGGTGGAGTGAGTTTGTATATGGATCTGAGTGGGCTCTGGGGTGAGTGTGTGCTTAGGTGCGGAAGGGGCTGTGTTTATTTACCGCGAGTCTGCCGGTGGGTGTATTCAGGAAGAAACTCCTCTTTTCCTCCCTTCCCAGGCCACCCCAAAACCTCCAGAGGACTCCTCTGCCTAAAACAAGGCTCAGTTGGGACCAGGAGACCCGGAAGGAGGGGAAGCCTGGTGAGAGAGCAGGGAACTGAACTGAGATGACTTAATCCACCTTCTCATTCAAGGATGAGGGGGAGGAAAGGGAGGACGCAAAGGTAGAAAATAGAAATAACAACCGTTCACATTTATGGGACACTTGCCCAGTGCCAGCTTCTGTTCTGAGCGCTTTTAATGTATGTGTCTGAACTCTTTTACTTCTCCCCACAATCCTGTGAGGGAGGATGTTTTATTTATTTAACATTTATTTATTTTGAGATGGAGTTTCGCTCTTGTTGCCCAGACTGGAGTGCAATGGTGCAATCTCGGCTCGGTGCAACCTCTGCCTCCCGGGTTTAAGTGATTCTCGTGCCTCAGCCTCCCCAGTAGCTGGGATTACAGGCACCTGCCACCATGCTTGGCTAATTTTTTGTATTTTTAGTAGAGACAGGGTCTCATCATGTTGGCCAGGCTGGTCTCAAACTCCTGAACTCAGGTGATCCACTCACCTTGGCCCCCCAAAGCGCTGGGATTACAGGCATGAGCCACCATGCCCGGTGGGAAGGATGTTTTATTAAATCCATTTTAGAGATGAAGAAACTGAGGCACAGAGAGATTATCTGATTCGCTTCTGTCAGTGACAGACCTGGGATTCGAACCTGGGCAGTTTGGCTCTTGACTCATCTGCTACACTTCCTCTGAAATCAGAGTCATGGCTCACATTTATTGAACACTAACCATGTGCCCGGCCCTGTGGTCAACAGTTTTATCCATGACATCATGGAATCCTTGTGGTTCAGAGAGGTGAAGCCACCTGTCCTGGACCACGCAGCTGACCAAGGATTAGAATCCAAGCCAGTGGGACTTGGGAGTGGAGTGCATGGCAATAACCAGTACGGGACAATATTGGCCAAGTTCTGCCCCATGATCCTTCCACACTGCCTGGTGTCCTGTTCCCCCTTGGGCTCTCATTGCATTCCTAGGTCTGGCAGTCTTTCGTTTCAGGAAGCTGAGGAGGGACGCAGCTGCTCCTGCTGCCCCGGCCACCCGGTGAGGAGTCAGCTAACACACGAAGAAAGCAGTCACTAAACCCCATGGGCTGTCACCAGTCAGGTGAAAATATGACTCCAGGCTCAGGAGAGGTCCAGAGGAGAAGGGGCCTCCAGGCTGGTCCTGCCGGGGAAGAAGAGACCGTAGAGGGGGCTGTGGTGCAGGGGAAGGATGGTAGATCCTGGGAACTAGAACAAAGTTCCTGTTGGCTGCCACCCTCTTAGAGCTTTCCTTCAGGGGCACACCGCTATTCATTCTCAAAACAGCCCAGGAGGAGGGTAAGAACTGGGGCCCAGCAGCAGGGAAGCAGTGGTCTGAAGTCACACAGGTGGTGCTGGGACAAAGTAGGGCAAAGACACAGCTTTCAGGTTCTGTGCCTTTTCTTTTCAATATAGTAAGAAAGATAAGTTCCCACCCGCCCCTAGGGGATTCCCAGACCCCAGCCCCTCCCCACGTTCTGAAGACCCGTCTCCGTCTCTGAGTTGGTTCTGTTGGGTGGCCCTGGATTCCAGAAAATAGGAAGTAAGCATGCTCACGCCTTTTTATTCCTTTTGTTTCTCAGACCCCCTAAGATAATGCTAATGGAATTTCCAGCACATTCGGCTCCGTGACAGCAGGACCCTTGAGTGTCCTGTTCATGGAGGTATCCCCAGTGCCCAGAGGGTGCCTGCTGCACTGTAGAAGCCCAGCGTACCTTGGATGAGTAGATGATATCGTATCAGCAACCCCCGGTCTGATTTGCCCAGCTCCCCACTGGGTAGACTCTACATGCAGTAATAACATCAGAAGAAAATATATATATATATTTTGAGATGGAGTTTGGTTCTTGTTGCCCAGGCTGGAGTGCAACAGTGCGATCTCAGCTCACTGCAACCTCTGCCTCCTGGATTCAAGCAGTTCTGCCTTAGCCTCCCCAGTAGCCGGGATTACAGGCCTACACCACCACGCCCAGCTAATTCTGTATTTTTAGTAGAGACGGGGTTTCTTTATGTTGGTCAGGCTGGTCTTGAACTTCCAGCCTCAGGTGATCTGCCTGCCTTGGCATCCCAAAGTGCTGGCATTATAGGCATGAGCCCCTGCTCCTGGCCAACATCAGAATATTAACTAGGATTTCTGCAGACCATTGAAGGTGCCAGGGACCAAGATTTCCCAAACATGCTCTTTTTAATGTTCACCACAGCCCCCTGGAGGTTTTATACTATCATTATTTCCTTTTTACAAATGAGGAAACTGAGGCACAAGACATGAGGTGACCTGCCTGAGGCCACCAGCTTATGGATTCTGACCCCAGGTCTGTCTGAACTTCAAGCCCATGCCTCTTTTCTCTGCCACACAGCCCAGCAATAATGAATAAATAAAATAAAAGAAACAGGAATTGCTTTCCCTGACCACCTCTGCAAATCATAACGATAGCAGTAGTAATAGTAGTAAGAATAATAAACACATATTTAACATTGTGTACCAGTTGTAAGTGCTTTGCATATATCAACCTATTTAATCCTCACCTGAATTGCTCTAAGATAGACATTATTATCCCCATTCATAGATGACAACATCAAAGCACAGAAATGGTTAAATAACTTGCCCAAGGTCACACAGCTACTAAGTGGCAAAGCTGGGATTCACATCTAGGCAGTCTGGCTCCAGTCTGTATTCTTAACCACTATGTGACTCTGTGAATAACAGCAACAAAATGACAGCGATGATACCCACCATTATTTGAGAACTATCCCGTACCAAGCTCTGCTAAATGCCCTATATGTTGTGTCTCTTTTAATCCTCATAACAACCCTTGGAGGTAGAGTCCTGCTGTTAACCACATTTTACGGTTGAACAATCTAAGGCACAGAATCAGATCCGGGATGACTGGCTGCAAAGCCTGTACTTTCAGCTGCCAGGGAATCCTGTGCCACCTGGCCCCTGGTGTATGCCCAGCCAGAGTACTGGCCTTCCAAACCCAGATCTACCAGCAGAACACAGCAGAGCTTCAGGTCACTGGACCACCTCTTCCGCCACCTTCTTTCCAGGCTTCTTTCTCTGAAAGCTTCTTCAGCCCTTCTAGACTTTCTCAGCTGAACAAATGACACAAGGAACACGTTGACATCTGGGAGAGTGGCAGCTGCCTGGGAGGAGCTGTCACTGCGTTGATCAGAAGATCCTTACATGTTACTGATGTGAAAGCCACTTGGGGCTAGGGCAGGGGGTGGGAGTCTCCAAAACTTAATGACAGCTGCTCTCAGCTGCAAGTGCCCCCAACAAGAGTCAGGGCTCAGCTATGGGACAGAGAGGATCATCCTGCCCTCTCTCCACCCATCCTCAAGGAGGGACATCCTCACCCAGGTTTTCAAGGGCTCTATTTCTTATACCTGAACCTAAATCAAGGCTTCTGAGATGTTTCATGTCCAAATACTTATTCCCTGTTCAGGGAACCAATATCTCAACTAACCAGAGTTTTCAGAAAGCGACCGGGTTGCTATTTCCCACTGAAGAAAGACGGTAAAACATAGTGGGAAGGAACTCGACCAGATCTGAATTTGAATCCCGTTGGCTCTGCTGCTCTGGGCATGGAACTTAGTTTCTCTGAACCTCTGTCTTGTCTTCTGTAAAATGAAGATGATCCTAAGACCTAACTCCCTCAGTAAACGTCAGCATTAATTATAAGAGGAAATGGTCAGGGAGGTGGGTGTGCCCTAGATCACACTGGACCTTGCAGACTCCAGTAAGGGGTCAGACTTTGTCCTGAGCACATTGAAGAACTCCTGAACTGTTTGGAGGAGGAGAGTGCTGTGATGAGAACTGAGTTCTGGGAAAATCACCACCTGCTTTTGGAGAAGATCTTTTGGCGGTTTTATGGAGACAAGCTAGGAGGCTGCTGTAGCGGCCCCAGGGAAATGGCAACCTTGGCTATGTTGTTGGCTGAGCAGTAAGGCTTGGATATAAGCATGGTCTATTAAAGAAGCAGGAGCATTTTGACTGCTGATTGTGATGAGAGGGGAAGAGAAGTTTGCATCAAATGCATGTCTTGGTTTTCAGACCTTTCAACAGGGTGAATGGTGGTGCCACTCAGTGAACATGTGAGAAGGAGCAGATGCGGGGAGTGGGAGACAGTCTGTTCATTTACTCACGGATTCATTCATTCCATAATTGTTACGTTCTCACTTGGAAAGCACTAGCCGAGGAGAATGGCTTGAACCTGGGAGGTGAGCTGAGATCACACCATTGCACTTCTGCCTGGGTGACAGAGTGAGGCTCTGTTTAAAAAAAAAAAAAGAGGGGGCCGGGCACGGTGGCTCAAGCCTGTAATCCCAGCACTTTGGGAGGCCGAGGC